ACATAGTACTTAGTGTTCCAGGGAGGAATAGATGAATGCTTTCTTATTTAATGATTGCCTGAGGATTATCTGGAAAATCTGAAGGAGGCTCTTTGCTCTCCCACCTCATTCCTCCCAAACTCCTCATATTTTAATACCCCATCATTGAACTGATTGACTTCTTTTTCATCCATGGTTCAGCTATGTTCTAGTCTCATGTCAGTAAATTCATCTTCCCTAGACTAAGCATATTGGCAAGTTCAATAAAATTAACCTCATTTCACATTTTTGATATGCTAGTCTGTCGTGCATATTAAAAACACTATGCATTTTTATTAATGTAAAACCTGAACCATGCACTGAGGAAAACAAAGATTAGGCTCGCTCTGAAATTGGCTCCTGTTCCATTGCTTCTTATTTTGAATTATATTTCAATAACCAAGAAACAAGTGTACTTAAATAGTATTTTCCAAAAATCAAAACAGTACTTATATAATCTCTGAATTTGTTTTTCTGACAGTCTATATACTAATTTGAACATTAAAATCTATTTTTCAGAAAATATGAAATAACACTGGTTGGAAACTCTTAAAAATTGTGTAGAATTTACCCAGCCCATTTTCGGATATGGGCCGATTATCCTTTTAATCCCAGTTCTATTCCACATAGCTAAATTGGTGGGGGTTTTGTGTATTCAAATCTAGAATACACATTTTCTTATGTCTTTGTTGCAGAGTGCTTAGGAAATAAAGTATGTAAAGAGCTTTATGATCTATGGCACAATGTAGAATGTAAGGTATTATTGCATTGTCTAAATTTTTTGGAGTCATTTATCCCTTTTCTAATATAATAGAAATTATTATGGCTTCTCGTTCCAGAAAAATGTCTATATACATAAGATGTCACATTAAATTTTAGGGGGTACAGTGACCCTCCTGGAGACTTCCTAAAGTCCACACTTCCAAGTTACAAAACTCTAGTCTGGAAGAAATGGTACTTCACATTTACTAGGTACTATTTATAGCATGCCAATGAAAGATTTAAAGTAGCATTCCATATGTCAAAGCTATGTTCTCAAGCTTTTGTGAGATTTACAGAACATTTGTGTGGATTATAAGCTGCAGGCCACTGGATGCTATAATGTCTCCAAATATAAAAAAAAAAAAATTAAAAATAAAGTAGCATTATTTACATTATAATTCAAGTTAGTAATTTAACAGAGCCTGCTTGAATAATGGGGCAATAATGCATCATGGAGCTGCAAATTGGTTAACTTATCCAGTGATTATCTCAATGTGGAGACAGAATTAGACCCAACAAAATAATTCCTGAAAAATGGTTTAGTAGGTGACAAGTTACTTACTTGACAAGTATTTATGGAGCTCCTACTCTGTATGAGAAATTGTGCTACACAATGAAGCTTTTATTAAAAGCATGTAAAAAGCTTATACTTTGAAGGTATGAAAAATTATACTGGGGATATGAGAACAAGTAAAGAAGCAATAATGATACTGGTAGATAGGTATTATAATAGGAAAAGTAAAGGTAGCTAATAGACTAAAAAGGGCATCTGGAAAGGCAAATGAAGGCTTTGTAGATAAAATAATGAATAGGTCAGTCCTAAAGGATGTATAGAAATAAACCCATTACTCTTAAACATGTGCTTAAAAAGTCAGCATCCTATAAGCCTTGTAACAAAAAACTGCAGTCCTTCTCCATTTCTTACTCCTGAGTCAACAATTTCCAATGACATATGTGGATTCTTTATGTATTTACCTATTTAACTCAAAATAATATGCTTAATTTGCTATTTTTAGAGTTTTTGCATTTAGGCATTATCTTTTGATATCCCACTATGGTTGATGAGGATTTTGCTTCAATTACATCATCCCACTCCTTGCTCCTGGCCCCAGCACAATTATATATGCACGCCTATGGATGTGCATGGCACACACCCCCCCTGCCCCATATTATCTTCCTAATACATCAGTGCTTATATTGTATTTACATTATTTTAACGACGTACTAAGTATTTTTAACTATGTATTTTTTAACTACATTATTTTAATTATGTATCTTAGTATGTACTAAGAAATAACGGCTTGACCATTCTACATATTTTGTGTATTTGTTCCGATTTGTTTGCATAGTTTTCTCTGTATTTACTATTCATTCAACTCTAAATTCTACCCCAGTCAGTTATTCTATCAATTTTTATCTTCTTGAAGAACTCCCTGAGCCTTCTGCCCTACTCTAATTTGGACTGGTGGTCAGGCTATTAAATTGGGACCTCCCTTAACTACCAACTTGGGATTCTCTCTGCTTCTTTCTCAGTTTGAATTTCCTTTTTCCTATTTCTAATCTCGGGATCAATTGAATGATAAAATATCATCACAGGTATAATTTTATAAGACAGGCCATTCTCTTAATTTTCTTTTACAGCCTTGTTTCCCTAGGATGCATTTTCCAATAGCTGCCTTAGAAAAGAGAGGATGCAGTATTTTGAGACTTTGGATACAGGATTTGATCTTGGAAACCTTTTTCTCATAATTTGCAAATCATTGATCTCTTGTCTTGCTTCCAGTGTAGCCATTCAGAGGTTTGAAGCTGTCCTATTCTTGACCCTTTGTGGATTTTTTCTTGATGAAATAAGATCCTCTTTTTGTGTCTAAAGTTTTGATTTTTAAAAAGAATGTGCCTCGGTGTGTCCCTAATATCACACTAAATTACTAGGGTTCTTTTTAATACTCCTTTTTAAAGATGTATTGTTGGGGCGCCCGGGGGGCTCACTCAGTTCAGTGTCCGACTTCAGCTCAGGTCATGATCTCACAGCTCCTGAGTTGGAGCCCCGTGTCGGGCTCTGTGCTGACAGCTCAAAGCCTGGAGCCTGTTTCAGATTTGTCTCCCTGTCTCTCTTTCCCAACCCACTCGCATTCTGTCTCTGTCTCTCTCAGAAATAAACATTAAAAAAATTTTTAAAGAGGGGCGCCTGGGTGGCTCAGTCGGTTAAGCGGCCGACTTCAGCTCAGGTCATGATCTCACGGTCCGTGAGTTCGAGCCCCGCGTCGGGCTCTGTGCTGACAGCTCAGAGCCTGGAGCCTGTTTCAGATTCTGTGTCTCCCTCTCTCTGACCCTCCCCCGTTCATGCTCTGTCTCTCTCTGTCTCAAAAATAAATAAACGTTAAAAAAAAAAATTAAAAAAAAAATTTTTTTAAAGAAATAAAAATGTATTGTTTTTGTTTTCAGGTATACAATATACATCTCTTTTTAGTAAGAGTATTAAGTATAGTTTGGTTCTTTCCCCTAACTCTTCTACTTAACAGTATTTTCTCTAAATTGCTGTTTTGTACTTATTTTGGTTGCTATCTCCAATACAATTGACTGTCAACTGTCAGCAGGACACTGATGAGAAACTCTTTACTCGGGGGATGAGCCATGTCCATAAGCTTTACTGTAGAGCAAGGATTCTCAACTTTTCTGTATAGGAGAATCACCTGGGAAAAATTTTAAACCACAGATACTCAGGTTTTATACCTAACTGAATCAGATTGAGTAATGAAACATTTTAAAACCTCTTGAGTGATTTTGATGCAGTTAAGGGTTAAGAATCACTACTGAAGAGTGACTTAGCTGGACCCAGCTGGAACTCTCAATGTGAAATCTTGTTTCATCATCATGAGTTTGTCAAATTCCCAAGAGAAAACTAAAGGGTGTAAGTTTGGTTGCCACAGTTCTGGGAACTGAATATATGATAGAGGCTAGGTTGGAGCTCACTATTCAGCTTTCACTTAATGATACAAACTTTCACTATAAACTTTCACTTAATACCTCTTTTTCAGTATAGTATAGGGATACCCATGATCTTTTCTGAAGAATTTGTTTTGTCCTCTCCAGAGAATAAACTTGCAAACTTTTGAGTTTAGGAAAGGGACACCTGCCAAGCTGTGTGAGGACTACTGCTTGTTAATATCCATTCTATTCTTTTAAAAAAACATGTCTTCACACCTCTTCCTCCAATTCCAGAGATACCTGTTGACTCCAATTACGGTCTTTCAGGACTCTGTGATACAAACTGAGTTGCTTTTTGGCTTCTTCACATCTTCTAGAGCCTCTCCATGTGGCTTTGGCTTTTCCAGTATGGTATCAGGGTAATCACACATTTTAGAGGGCATCTAGCATTCGAAGAGATACTGTTCCAAATAAGTAAAAGCTGCCAACCCAATTAAGGGCTAAGTTTGGAACTGGCTGCATCGCTTTCACTGTATTCTATTGGTCAAAGCATTCACATAGCCCACCAGATTAAGAAAGGTAGAGAAATAAATTTCACCTCTTGATAAGAGAGTGGTAAGGTCACAGTGTAGGAAAGAATACAGAATGAGATATATTCCATAGCCATACTTGGACTTACTTCCTCTTTAATTATATAGGATAGAAAACAGAAAATATTTGAGTGGGGATAGTCTACCACACACACACACACACACACACACACACACACACACACACAAAATTCAGAGATGGCATGGCAGATAATTGGTAAACTGTATTGTCCACTGGAGACATAGAATGTTTCAACGATTATGTAAAGATCTATAACTTTCCCTAAACATTCTAAGGTATCAAGGACCCATTCTGTTAAGAAGGTTCTTGATTTTAAGTGACAAGAATCAAGTAGGCAAATTCAAAATGTTCATCCAAACATTTATTGAGTGAATATTACACTGTCAAAGAAATAAGTGATTAATGAAAATTCTGCTTATAAAGCTTGCAATCTGGTCAAAAAACACCCATAAAAATCATGAAGTAAAAAAGTATACAGTAAACGCTGTTATGGTGTTATAAAATGAAGCCCTGTAGGAGCAGAGAGAAAACAATTTTGAATGGAAAAAAGGAGATGGAATTCAATCAAACCGCAATTTTGACTGGTTAAATTTCAGGAAGAAAGTCACCTCTATATTTGGAAAATGCTAAATAAGTAGTGCAGCTAGAACACATGATGAAGCCAATCACATAGGATCACATATAGTAACAAGTTTGGTTTTATTCTGTAGGTATTCAAGAGTAATTTCAGATTTCTGAGTTGGGAAAGTTAAGTAGTGGGTGGATGCTATAGTTAGATCTATAGTTGAAGTAAAAAGCTGACAGAATCCACAATGATATGGAAGGGATTAAAAATATGGCAAGATTAGCTAAGAGATTGCTATAATAATGCAAGTAAGAAATAAAATTCATCAGAATCCCCAAATATATTTAGAAGTTAACAGGTTGGAAACATCCCGAATTGAATATAGGCAGGCCAAGAAAATATCTTAAATATTTATAATTTATTAAATTTAAAGAAATACAATGAGTTTAAATTATTCCTGAGTAAACTACAACTTCAAACAAATGGAAAATAACTACAATATACACAGTTAAAAACAGAGTTGAAACATTACTTCATAATGACTTATCAAGGTTATTTACATCTATACTATTTTTATTAAAGTACTGTAAAAATGAAATATAAGAATACTTAAAGGTAACAATATTAAATCTACCAATTATCTGCACACAATTTATGAAAAAATTTAAAGTTTTTTTCTTTTTTTCTCCCATGATCACATAAGGACATGTCTAAATCAACTTTTTGTATTTAGCAGACACATATTTATATAATACCAATTATCAGCTTAAAAAAACTAAAATGTGGCCAAAAACAATCACCATGAATTTACAAAACAATTAGTATACTATTTGCTGTGCAGTCAACTAATATTTATTGAGCACCTCCTATCTTCGAGGACCAAAAACATGCTACCTCAAGAATTCTCAAAATCTTTCTTGAAGATAAGTAATAGTATTTTTTATTTAAAAAAAAAAAAAGATGAAAAAAATATGAATCACACTGATCAGAACTTGCTCAATACCACCATCAGTAACATATTTTAATTATATGAAGTGACAATTTTACAAGATTTTTGTTTTCACATTTCACATTTACAAGATTTGTGTTCCCATTAAGTCTTTGCTTTCACATTTTAAAAAATTCATATGGATATAAGCAGTATTTTTATTTATATCACCATTTCTCTCCTACTTGCCTAAGAACATCACCAAATATCTATAATTTCTTATGTATTTTAATAAAATATATGTAAGTGGGCATGTAGAATATTAAGTACTACTCTATCATTCTGGAATTTAAAAATGACAAAAGCACACATTTTTAAAAGTTACACATTAAACAGATAAAAGGTATGATTTCTAAAATAAAGTAATATATAGATTTTTAAAAATTAACCTCATTAAAACTTTGGTTTGCAAATTATAACCTTAAATACAGAATGTTAAGATTAAGTGACTCTGTATTATGATGGTCAGCTACATATACGGTACTGAAATACATGTTCTTTCAAGTTTAATGTACCTCTTCTATGAACTGGCTAAAGGATGGCTATTTTAGTTCAAGTGGATAAAATTATAAAAAGAGTACCTTCCTTTGTTACTACAGATTACTATATAGTCAAAATGTCACACACCACAGAATTTTGAGGATAATCCAATAGTTAATAACATCAAATGCTAGCCAATATCTATTATTACGTATTTATTACCTTATAGAAAATCTGTTCTATTAGAAGTACCTGAATAGAAAGGAAAAGAACTATAAACAGACTAGATTTAGGAAGTGCCCTTATTTTACAGATTACAGACTGAGATTCAATAGTAACTTGCCCAAGTCATAAGCTAATGGTAGAACCAGGACTGATAACCTGAGTCTATTTCTCTTCCGGATCCCTTTCACCATATCCATGCTCTCCCATTTTATGAATCATATTACCATATTATTTATTCACTCTATTTTAACTTTAATTTAGAAGATTACCAAATAGTGAAACTTTTTCTCTACAGCCCAACAACTCTCTAGTTTTTCCCAAAAATGAACATTATAAGAACAGGATACAGTTCAAAATATTAGAACGCTTAGCTTCATTAAGATGAGAACTTTATACAGGAAAAAGTTCACTTTACATATAATTTGGTTTGGCTGCAAAAAGCTTATATAAAAGTCACAGCTTTAAAACCTCTTAACACTCTATATCATAGTAACTTCATATGTTGTGAAGTGGTTTTCTATAATCTTGACATTTTCTTCAGAGAGCCAGTTTTCTTGTTTTAGCTGCCTTATAAGAGCTTCCAAAGACTTCAGTCTTCCAAGAGTCTGTTGTTCTTGTAACTCAAGAAGAGTTATTTTTGAATGTAGTTTAGAGACTTTCTGCCAGAGATGTTCCTTATTTATATCTTGTCTGCAGTAAGAATGTTCAATTTGTAAAACTTCTGTCTCATAGTCTACATCCTTATAAAAGGAGTCTTCAGCGTCTAGATCTTCCATTTCCACAGTTTCTTTTTGAGCAGGTACAAAAGAATCAATCGTAGGTTTGGAATTTTCTGTGGGTACAAAAATGGCAATAACAGATTCTTTATTTGTATTTAATTCTTCAACTGTTTGAGTAATTGTGCTGAATAAGAATGGACTTTCCTGTGCTGACTTTATTTCCACAGAATTATTTGTAAAGTTTGCATTAGCAAGATGATTCGTAGTGATTTCGAGTACTTCTTGGGTTTCCAAAGATGGTTGAATATCTTCTGAATTTGAAGTTGTCAAAGTAATAGTTGTAGAATTGAGATTCTCAAAAGATGTGTGAAAACCACCTATGTTTTGGGTAACTGATGTTTCCAAGGTAGATGCTGGTTTTCCAATATCTTGTTTAATCAGATTAAGAGTTAATATGTTATTTTGTATACCTTCTGTTTTTGCAGCTGGTGGCTTCACCAAGGTAGAATTAAGTAATTCTGTGTGTTCAGGGAGAATGTCTGTATTAACTGTATTTTTCTTTAGCTCATTTGATGCAAATGATTCTTGTGACTTGGCTTTTAGGCATACTTCTTTCTCATCATCTAATTTTTTCTTCTGAGATATTTTTTTGGAAGGGTCGTTTTCCTAGAAAATAATATTTTCAAATTCTAAAGATGTCCTCACTAACCTTATTCTCTTATTAGTCAGTGCTGAATATTTAATTATAAATTGGCCAAGCAAATTTATGTGCAATTAAAAAAAGTTCTAAGCATATAACAACTCAAATTACTTCAAAGTGTTTTTTATAAAGTATTAAGCACATTCAATATATGATGGAAATATTTCAGATCACTCAAAGACCAGTAACAAAATCTTAGATCACTATCTTATGTCAATAACTTAATGATTTATGCACATGTTATCTTTGGTTCTTAAGGTATGCTTCACAATGGTTTAATTTTTTTAATTATCATACTTTTAGTAAAAGCATAAATTAGTTCTTCCTTTTTCTCAAGCATCTGTTTCCCCAGCAGTTATCTTTCCCTCTCCCTCCCTTAACCTCATTACCTGCGACCCTGCAACCTACCACCCTGCATTATCCCCCTCTCCCCTATGCTCTGCCTCCAATACCTGATTATCTTCAGGCAAAGAAAATATTGTTGGAATTGCAGTTTGTTTCAAATATCGAATACCCCATCTGATGTCAAGAGAGTCAGGAGTAAAATGGTCACTACACAGGAACTGGTATTTACTGGGAACCCATGAATCACGTTTCATATTCTTTAACCATTTTTCAAGTCTTTCTTTGTCATGTAGAGGAAACCTGAAATTAAAAAAGGAAAACTTTGCTATATTTTTACAATTTTGCCAAGTTCCAGGACTGCATACATAGGGTAAACTATGCACTGAGTGCTGCAAAAGCAAGGCAACAGTCCCTACCATGTAAGAGCATCTTTGTGATAATTACTACATCCCCTCTCGAGGAAAGATGAGTAAGCTCTAAGAGATGTAGCCAAAGCTTTTGAGAAGACTGGCTGGTAAAACAGAACTCAGAGTCTCTTCAAGTAAAATATGTGTGTTCCAACAAAGGATAAAATCTACTCATATTTTCTGTGGATTATATTATATTTTTATTTTGTTGTATATTTTGCCTAGAACTGGGAAAGAGCTTGGCATAAACTACAAAGTCCTATTCAAATGTATTCTATACTGATACTATATACTAATAAGTCAAATGGTGTCTTTTCTATATTTCAAGGAAGTATTAAACTTTAGGCCCTTATTAATATTAATATTTTTTTTAAAAGTTAGTTCAAGTAAGTGATTTAGTTGACAATGAATACTATATTTTATAAAAGTACTAATATTCCATGCCCTTTACCAGAATCAGCCTCAAATCTATCCATACATAATTTAGTCTACTATTTCTAAACTTATATGATCAATAAACTGAGAACCCTAAAATTCAAGTTATGAAAGAGAACTGACACAAGAACTAAAAATATTGTAAAGAACAGACTCATATTTTATAACATGAAATTGAAATCAAAGAGAAAATACAGAGAAAAGTAAGACAGTTCTTTCTGTGCTGTTCCTGGACTGAAAATAACCTCTATTTAGAGTTGGTGCTAACATAATGAAATGTGTGTTATAGGCAAAATTAGGCTAATGACAGAATCTGAGAGAAAACTTTTCCTACCAATCTAAATAGGTTTCAGTTAAACTCCATTAAACAAGAGTTAACAGTAATTCATATTTCAATGATTTTATGAGAAGTCTAAATTCTTATTTTTAAAAAATGGTAACGACATAAGGTTTCTTATATAGAAAGCAGCAATTATACATTCCCTCTCAATACCAACCATTTAGGTTATGCTTTGTAATAGCATGCCTCCCCCCGCACCCCTGCAAATATTGATAACTTTATAAGATGCTAAGGAGGGGTGCCTGGTGGCTCAGTCGGTTGAGCATCCGACTTCAGCTCAGGTCACGATCTTGCAGTTGACGAGTTCGAGCCTGGCGTCGGGCTCTGTGCTGACACCTCAGAACCTGGAGCCTGCTTTGGATTCTGTGTCTCCCTCTCTCTCTGCCCCTCCCCCACTCATGTTCTGTCTCTGTCTCAAAAATAAAGATAAACATTAAAATAAAAAATTTTTTAGAAGATGCTAAGGAAAAGGAGTCTGGGTACTTTGTAGGAAATAATTTTTAACCCAGATACCCTTATATGGAATAATCAGATGATCTACCTTTGTAAGTTCTTACCATAGATACAATATTCATACATGGTTTGAAAAACTTTTAACCTTGCATGTATCAGTAATTTAGGTTGGAAGTATAACACACATAACCAGAAAAGACATTTAAAGGCAAAAATAATTTTCTTTTCAGAAGACCTAAATTCTGTTAGCCATAGGTAAGTTCATACTTTTTCTGCTACATCTAAAAAGGGAATATGCCTTTTACAATATTTTTAAATGTCATTTTATGTATAAGCACGCTGTTTGCAGATTATTTCTATTGTACCTATACTAAGTTACCAAACTAAAAAATAAATAGATAAATAAATAATTTAAAAAAATCAGTTTGTGCATATCCTCATTAGTAACTGGACTGCAATACTTCCTCAGCAGGTAAATCTCTAAGAAATCTCCTGGAATAGGTTTCCTGAACAACTTCATATCTTTACAGTGTGGTTCAATTTGCTCAGTAATTTTGTTTCAATGCCGTATTAATCCCCCCAAAAGTATAAAATAATCACAGTATAAACTGAATATTATATACATATGTAAACTGAATTATCAAATTAGTATACAGTAGAGCTTATTACAGTGTTAGCATTAACAAATTCAATTCTTCAAGTTTGGTGCTATTAGGGGACTAAAACTAATTCAATTTTTATTTTTCAGACTACATATGGAAATAAAAAACATAAAAAACCCACTTTCAGTAAATTCATAATTGGAGGAAAAAAATCTTTACAATTGACCTCCTCTGGCATTATTATTTTTCCCTCCTTAAAAACAGTAACTATGGAAAGATTAACTTAAAAGAATTTGGAGTCTGGCATTATTCCCCCTAAATCCAAGGCCAAATAAATCTGGGAAATATGAGGCTAAATCAAGTTTAACATGATTTTTTGCTATAAACCTTCTCAGAGCCACAGCTATTGATAACTAACAATTCCTCTCAAAAGTCACTCTGCATCTTGTGGGCTATGGGTGGGAGACAATCCTGGAAATATTGCCATATGTAAGTTATTTTGGGTTACCAGGTTTTTTTTTTTTTTTTTTCCATTAGTTAAGATCATGGAAAGCAACTGTATCATCCACGAACACAGAGTTTCTGGTTTAAAGTAAAACAGGCTTCAAAAAATAGCTGGTGAAAATCTACAAAAGACGACCAGGTTAGAGCTAAATGAATTATTTTTACAAACAAGAAAAAAAGGAAACAGAATATTGCAAATATGTTGATTCTCACATATATTAAGCACGTATTGACTGTCAAGTGCAGCTTTACCTATTTACACACAAAGTGTGAAGTAGGTACAATTAATAACTCCACGGGTGAGAGATCTCAGGCACAGAGAGTTCAAACTTTGCAGAAGGTCATTCAGCTACAGAGTAGTGGAGCCATGTTGTGAACCTACTAAGTCTGGCTTTGGAGCTTGGACTCCGAGTCACTACTGCTTCCCTCTTCTTCTGAATAAAAATGAACACTTCTGTGGGTTCACGGAAATATTTCGTGGCAGCAGTAGTTTGGAACAACACTTAGCCTGTTGTCTGTACAAATAAAAAGTCTACAGAGCCCTGAGCAGGGCACAGGTTGTAATCCTGGCTTTGTCACAGAACTTTCAAGGTAACCTACTTTCTGAAGGGCCTTAGTTTCGTCGGGAGAAGAAGGACTTAAGAACATCTATGCAACCTAACTCACAGAAGGTGTAAATTAACTGTGAATGCAACGTCCCACTCGGCGGGTTTGATGTGTGCCTTAAGTGGTGGTTAACGTCGTACAATAAAATGAGATCAGGTGAGGTGGGGAAACGCTCGGAAATCCACGGAGCACCGCCCAAACTCTACTGTTTTAGGGGGCTATTTAACACCCAAAAAGGCCCCTATATGCCTCGCCACCAGCCCAGTGTCCTAGCCCAGGGCATTTCTAGGTAAACTCAACTCGACCCTTAACATCCTTCTCCCGCGCAGTGAAGAGCCACGCCCGGAGAGCCGAGGACGAATTTCCAGATAACCCCAAACCGTGGCTACAACGGCCACAGGACAGTGGCCCAAAGACAAGGCGTCTGACGCTTCTGCTCGAAGGACAACTTACGGATAAAAACTCAGCTTCCGGTCCTTACTGTTTCGTCCCCGACGGTTCTTACAGCAAATCGCTGCGCAATAGCGAGGCATCGCTCAGGTGCGGCCCAGAAGGCCCAGGCCGACGAGGGGCGCTGGCGGAACCTCCTTGCCAAGGTGGTGCCGCAAGTCCAGGCCGTCCGAGGCCACCGCGCCTGCGCCGGAATAGGCCGAGAGGAAAGACGCTGCAAAAGTCGACTCACTTCCGCTTCTTCAGGCTTCAGCACGGCCCTTTCGGGAGGTTGGGGCCGGAAGTGACGCACAGGCTGAGCGGCAACAACAGTTTTCCACGTGCGCGTAGGGCGCCAGGGTCAGGTGGGGAAGCGGGAGCCAATAGGGAAGCGTTTCGTGTAGGTCTTCTGAGGTGGCGGCGCTAGCAGCGGCCGCCGGCCAGTGGGGAGCGGGCTGAGAGGGGTCGCGGCGGCGGCGGCAGGCGGAGCGTTAGGTCGGTGTGCAACCGGCAGTGGGGCGCCCGCCGGCTAGGGGAGGCCGTGGAGACCTGGGCGAAGGGCCGGGCCGAGCAGCTGTGTGGAGCCGGTCGTCAGTCTCCCGGCGCCTCTGCTCTGTTGAGCAGCAGCAGTCGGAGGGTGAGGATGTGGGGAGAGGCCGGGAGGTCGCGGGGAGTGGTGTTTAGAGTGTCCCCAGGGCTTCGGCCGGTTTTTGTAGACTGACCTCTCGGTGGTTGCCACGGTCGTCGCAAGCGCTTCAGGCTGCCTGGTGTTCTTGAGGGACGAGGAAAAAGGAGATGACCGAACCACAGAACAGGGCGTTTTGTGTTTTGGGTTGGCCGCTGGCTTTTTCGGGCGTCGGACAGCTCCTCCCAGGGCTGGCCTCCGGGCCGCGGACAGCCGCGAGGGCGGTGCCTGGACGGACTGGACGCGTATGGGGTCGTCTTGGGGTAAGGGATGGACAGTGCAGCCCAACCGGCCACCGGCTCTGGGGAGTAAGGCCCAGGCTGCTGTCCGATGGGTCCCTCTTGGGAAGGAGAAGTCAGTATAATACAAAGTCGGTCTCCTAAAAAAGTGTCAGATACTAAACTGTGGAGTAACCTTCATTAAACCAGTAATAGGTGCCTCCCTGTCAGTTTCAGACCCACCCTTTGACTAGGGAAGTACCTGCAGTCTTTGTGGCGTCCGCAGTACTCCCTCTGCGTTCTTTAGACGGTCGTACTTGATCCTCGGTGCCCGTGACTATGAGTAACTCTCTGGAAAGGAGGAATCCATCTGCTAATTACGCTCAGAAAATGCCACAGGAGAGAAAGGCAGGCAGTTTCCACAAACCGTAATGTCTTTCGTCAGCCTTGTAATGTCATCATAGGTTATTAAGAACTCCTGTAGTAGAGTTCAAAAAACAGGATCACATTCGTTTTGAATCCCAAGTCATTAAATCTATACTACCCAGAATTCTAAGTTGAAATCTAATGTAAAACTTCTTTAAGGTTAGAGAGATATTTTAATGACTACTGAGAAGTTTGAAAATAACTAGCTTATCCAAAGTAACGACTATGACAGTTCGTTTTTCTGGTAGCCTTAGGAGAAATGTTAAATTCTGTTAATTACAAGTTTTTAACAAAACCCATTTATCCATTTTTCTGTTAAATATTTGGGATGTTACAATTAAAAAATCATTACATTCTACTGTATTGTCAATACTATTATGATGAGATTTTCTATTTGCAATACTTGGCTCACCTTGCCAAAATGAAGGCTGAAGTTGGTACATTCTTAGGAAGGGAAGATTATCAATTCAGACCTACTGGGCTGTTTACCTTGGTAATGTACTTTTTCTGTGAAGTTAAATACTCTTATTTTTAATCCTTTTAGAATATGAATTTTTGAAAGGGAAATTGACATCCTTTGAAAAATTATTTGGATTTCCCACCCTTTTTACAATGTTTACAAATGATGAATCTTCAGTATTAACTGGCAAAAATCAGTTATTGAGTATTTTTTTTTATAATTTTTTTTTTCAACGTTTTATTTATTTTTGGGACAGAGAGAGACAGAGCATGAACGGGGGAGGGGCAGAGAGAGAGGGAGACACAGAATCGGAAACAGGCTCCAGGCTCCGAGCCACCAGCCCAGAGCCCGGCGCGGGGCTCGAACTCACGGAGTGCGAGATCGTGACCTGGCTGAAGTCGGACGCTTAACCGACTGCGCCACCCAGGCGCCCCCAGTTATTGAGTATTTTTGTGTCTACTCTGTGTATGACCAGAGTATTAGTGGAAAGGTAAAGCAAAGAAGATTTTTTTCCCACTTTGGTTGAATTATATTTGCCTTCAAGAAGATTACAACCAATGTAGGGGTAATAAAGCCTGTAAAATGAAATAACATGGAAACAAGTACAAGATACTATATGCTTAACAATGTTAATACTGCAGGAAGTATAGCTTGTATCCTAAAAGTTCACTGAGCTTCTTTTTAAAAAATCTTAACGTTAGCTCCATGGATAATTTTTTTTTTTTTTTTTAGGATATTAAAAATGGCTACTCCCCAGTCAGTTTTCGTCTTTGCAATCTGCATTTTAATGATAACGGAATTAATTTTGGCCTCCAAAAGTTACTATGATATCTTAGGTGTGCCAAAATCAGCATCAGAGCGCCAAATCAAGAAAGCTTTTCACAAGTTGGCCATGAAGTACCATCCTGACAAAAATAAGAGCCCTGATGCTGAAGCAAAATTCAGAGAGATTGCAGAAGGTAAGTAAATGACTGTCTCTGAGGTCTCACAGATATTAACTAGTAAAGGAGAATGATAGCTAAGAAGTGTATGTATCTGGAGATACTGTGGAGGTGGGTGGCAGAGAGGGATCTACATTTAAATAAAGGGAGATTCTTGAGACTCTTATGATAAATACTTTGATTCCTGGATGGATGGATAAATGGTAGTATGCATTTTTATTGACCTATAGATCTTAAAATGTTGATAATGTATTACTTCTTTCTTTTATTGTTTATGAAGTAGCTTATTGTTTACATGTTAAAAGGAATTTTAGGTTCCCAAAACTTATAAGCTAACCTATGAAACATGGTTTTTACTAAGTGTGGAGATTAAATATAAAAATATTAAGTATAAAAAGTTTAAATAGACTTTGAAATGTGGGTTTTTTTTTCATCTATGTTTAAAAACGACATTTGTCTTTAAAGAAAAAATATGAAACAAATTTTAGCTTAAGACTAGCCCTGAAACAAGTTGCACTGAGCATATGGTAATTAATGGTGGATGGGGGTAATTGAATAGAGAGTTGGAGTTAAACATTGACTTCAACTCGTAAGGAAGTGAGAAATCTTAATTCTTCTAAATATAACTAATTAAAGTTATATTGAGCCATTAAGTTATTTAATACAAGAATGGTTTTACCCAAATAATATGAAAAATAACTAATTGTTACCCATATGCTTACCTTTAACTAATGGTAGCATTCATTTAACAAGTATTTATTGGATATTTATTGGGGGCAGGCATATGCTAACGGCCGATACTGTACAGTGAACAAGACAAAGGCCCTGCCTACTGTAACTTTCATTTTACCTTTTTCCTGCGTTTATAATGTTTTGGTTTTATTGATGGTATGATATTCTTCCCTAAAATAGAGAATTGAATTCACTTATTTGAAGAGGTTGGGTTATATGTAATTTTGATTACCTTCAGTTACTAATATTTTTATTTCCTTCAGCATATGAAACACTCTCAGATGCTAACAGGCGAAAAGAGTATGATACACTTGGACACAGTGCTTTTACTAATGGTAAAGGACAAAGAGGTAACGGAAGCCCTTTTGAGCAATCATTTAACTTTAATTTTGATGACTTATTTAAAGACTTTGGATTTTTTGGTCAAAACCAAAACACTCGGTCCAAGAAGCATTTTGAAAATCACTTCCAGACACGCCAGGATGGTTCCAGTAGACAAAGACATCATTTCCAGGAGTTTTCTTTTGGAGGTGGACTGTTTGATGACATGTTTGAAGATATGGAGAAAATGTTTTCTTTTAGTGGTTTTGACACCACCAATCGGCACACAGTACAGACTGAAAATAGATTCCATGGATCTAGCAAGCACTGCAGGACTGTCACACAACGAAGAGGAAATATGGTTACTACATACACTGACTGTTCAGGACAGTAGTTCACTGTTTGTCCTCACTAAATCCAACTAGTTGACTCTTCTTCAATATCTTTGATGCAAAACAGTTTTCTGTGAACTATTTTGACAAGTGCATGATTTCACTTAACTTGATATAGATATTAAATGTATTTAAATGGTTTTTGAAAATTCAGCAACATTCAGTTAGAGAAATAGATAATTATTAATTTTCCTGATTAGGAAACATTCTTTTTAAAAAAAAACAAAAGATATTATAATTCTGCCTGGTCTTTTTTTCTCTACTTGCCCTTGGGCTTACTTGCGTGGCCAGTTTTATTACCGAGAAAAGATTGAGTTCACCTGATACGTATTTAAAAGTTAAACTTTAAAACTTACTGTAGATTTAAATTTGTGAACTTCAGTGGTTTTTGCAGTGAAACCTTTGCTAATTTAAAGTTGCATGCTCTGCAGCATCTCTGATTTGGGTTGCTAAATGTACATGAAACTGTAATTGAGTCACTCAACAAAGGATAATAGTATCTTTCCACTGAAAGTTTCAGAAAGTCACGGTTTAATATTTACCACAGAACCATACCTTTCTGTAGTAAAATTGGAGTAAGGGAAATGATTGTATTGCTTATAGCCATTTAGGCTGAAAGACAGTTGAAAACTTTTGAAATATTGCCAAGACATTGTTACATGTTTGGTCCCTGGCTAATGATTTTGTAGTGTTGAAATCATAGCTTATTTACACATCTTTTCACATTTCTCTTAGTCATTGGCGCTCTAGGTCTTCTATGAATTTATGTATCTCGTGTGTGGTTCCTCTTCTTTGCACTCATCTTTATCTAGAGATTGACTAATACCTCATTCTGTTTATACAAACAGCCAGTAATTTCTGTGCAAACTTATTATGTGCAATATTTTTAAATCCTAAGAAATGTGTGCTTTTGTTTTCATTTGACTTCTTTAGTTCTGCACTTTTTGCATTCTACTCCATATGAGTATTAATCCTATGGATACATTAAAACTAGTAAATGTCTCATAAAACCTTGTGTGTGAGTGAGAGAAATATAATATTTACAATATGACGTCAGTTGTCATTGTTAAAAGTTTATTCTGTAGTCTGGACCTATGGAGGATATATAAACAATGGGGCTTCTT